AGGACTACCTCATTCTGGCCTGCGACGGCTTCTACGACACAGTGAACCCCGACGAAGCAGTGAAAGTGGTGGCCGACCACCTGAAGGAGAACAACGGGGACAGCACCATGGTAGCCCACAAGTTGGTGGCTTCCGCTCGAGATGCCGGCTCTAGCGATAACATTACGGTCATTGTGGTCTTTCTCAGGGACATGAACGCCATCATCAGTGCCGGCGAGGAATCCGAATGGACTGAGAACTCTTTCCAAGGCGGGCAAGAGGACAGCGGCGACGACAAAGAGAACCAGGGAGATTGTAAGAGACAGTGGCCTCAGCACCAGGTCTCGGCGCCTGCCGATCTGGGCTACGACGGCAGAGTGGATTCCTTCACGGACAGAACTACCTTGAGCGCAGGTTCCGCCATCAATGTCTTTGAAGATCCCAGCTGCTTAGACCTGAGGAAAACAGAAGCAGGCAAACTCCACAGTGTCAAACGCCTTTCTCCGGATCAAGTCTTCAGTGCTGGCGTGCCAAAGCGGGCGATTTTGAGTCAAGGTGTTTTGGGAGACGGCAAGAGAATGGACGACGTTCCACCCCATGGGCAGAACGCACTCCTGGGCTCTCCAAGCCCAGGGGAGTGCAGCGTGGTGTTGGTGGAGGCCCCGATCCCCACTGGGCCCGAAGGTCTGTGGTTCAAGTCGTGGGGAAGAAAAGCTTCCATCTTCTCTCACTTCCATTTCTGCGACGCTAAGCGGTGGCAACGGTTAGCGAGACTGAAGCCGAAACTCAATGGGCTTTTCTTTGAGCAGCGGTCTCTTTTCTGCCCAGAAAGTTTAACCCTCTGCTCACCCAACCACCTAAATGGCCGTAGGAACAAGTTCCTAAGAAGCCATCTTGGGCAAGTTTCCCTTGGTTGCCATCCAGGTCACGGCGAGAGTATTTTCTTGATGTTAAGGCCAAGTCCCTGTATACCACCAGACCCATGGCTGCTGTGGAGTTGTAAAAAATAACACGTGCCCTCCTTTGTATTTTACTTTTTTCCCCCTCCTCCTCCTCCTCTTCAATAGGCTAAACATTTCACAGAATTAGAAGTAATTCGGAGGGAGTGTTTCAGAATTCGGATATCGCGGAAGGCTCTGCCCGTGTAAATACATCCTGGGAGTCCAAGCGTTTTGTCTCCAAAAATTGGGAAAAACAAACACAAATAAACAAACAAGGATTGGCATACCAGTCTCCCTAGCAACTTCGTGGACACATCCAATCTCTCTCTCTCTCGCTCTCTCTCATGTACAAACAACACACAACTCACATGGATCCGTATGTACTCTTTTGTGTCGTAGCTTCATTTCTTCGTGGGAATTGGATATTCTTAAGGACTCGCTGGACAAGACAGGAAAGTGCCATTAAAAAAAAGAATTTGCAAAAAAAAAAAAAAGAGAGAGAAACCCGTTACGAGAGAAGTCTACGGAGCAATATTTTCAGAAAGACTTTCTAGAACCGATGTTGGTTTTTTTTTTTTTTTTTGCAAATTCTTTTTTTTAATGGCACTTTCCTGTCTTGTCCAGCGAGTCCTTAAGAATATCCAATTCCCACGAAGAAATGAAGCTACGACACAAAAGAGTACATACGGATCCATGTGAGTTGTGTGTTGTTTGTACATGAGAGAGAGCGAGAGAGAGAGAGATTGGATGTGTCCACGAAGTTGCTAGGGAGACTGGTATGCCAATCCTTGTTTGTTTGTGTTTGATTTTCCCAATTT